CTGTAGTGAAGCTCTATTTAATGAATTAAGGAATGGCGTTTTATGTACAAGGCCTTATTCACAGTCCGAAAGGATAACTGTAGCTCAGTCAACAACTACATACAGTTAAAGGTGGTGGGGAGAGAAGTAATTGTCAAAATTTTTTTCTCTGGGATAATAATGGATGATCTTATAGGAAATTTTACTACTGTATATGGATGTGCTTTCTTCAAACCATTGTAGACAAATGTCAGTTTATTCTATTCATTAATGTGGGTTTGCAAATATTATGATACTTAATTGTGAAAGAGCTTTTTCTGGGGAGGGATTTGGCTCCTCTGCCTTGACATTTACGTGCACATGTGTATTTATAGTTGTGATCTGTCTGGAATTTGCCTTTGTGGTTTTGTTTGCTCTTTAACTTGTTCTGTGATCTAGTCCTGTCTTTTTCAGTTTTGTTTCTGAGGTTTAATAGGTGAGAAATGCGGAAGAAATGGCTTAATTTAAAGGAAATAATCAACATTTTTATTCAACTTAGGATACTTTAGGGAATAATGACACTGTTCTGCTTAGAAGCCTTTCCTTAAAATAACCTTATACTGGTGCTAATTTATGATTAATCTAGAATTTGAGTTCAGTGTAACTATTGTTGTGAATGTTTCCTTAATTTATTTCAGTTGTTCTTATGAAGGCTTCATTAAAGAAAGCATCTAATTCAAAGTTAATACTATCAATGCAACTATTCTAAGACCTGGTAGTGGTGTGACCTTGCTCCCACTGTTCTGCCAAACTTATGATGTGTAGCACATGTATGTATGTGAGTTTAACTATGGTTGTTCAGAGAGAATAATGGGAAAGATATTTTAAAGCAACAATTATTTCACTGAAATACTAACTCAAGTGGAATGCTGAATATGAGCAGTCAAACTCAGTCTCAGAAGGGAAGGTGAACTGTTGAAGGAACAATTTTCAGCTTCCTAGTATATATTTCATAAACATTTTTAGATGAAAAAAGGAAGTCTTGTATTGCAAAGGTGAATGTCACTTTCTTGGTTTTGATCAAAGAACATAGAAGATCCTCTGTAGGTAAGAGTGGGCTTATTTTAGGCAAGTTCTGTATGGTTTCAAAATTTTATTCAGTCTTCCCAAGAATTAATACATTTTTTTAATAAATTGTCTATTTGGCTTTTTAGTAATTTGTTACAGTTGAAGACACACCAGGTTTTTTTCCCCAGTCAACTTTAAAAAGCTTGAACTGAAATTCCCATTTTATGTATTTGGTTTTTAATTTGGACTGTAACAGATAACACTGATGTAAGGAAGTGCTGAACAAATACAGGCTGCTAACTTTCTTGGTGCATAATAAAAGTACCCTAAAGTAGCTTACAAGAACAGGAAGACACATCTGAGACTGCCTAGTTTGGCAGAAAATTGGTTTATAGATTTGACTATAAACAAAAGCTTCATGGATACCCATTTGATATTACAGTGATGATAAAAACTTTTTTCTCTCTATGCCTGAAATGGAATGCAGCTGTTGTATTTGAAGACTGTGTAACCAAAGAACTGATGATATAGATGGTTAATTGATTCATAATGTGATATATCAGTCAGAGAAATGTTGATGTGGTAGAATGAGGAAGAAAGGTAGCTAATTGATGGGGGGGTATGTTATGTTTTTGAGGTGGCATCACAGCCAAGTGCATTACTGGATTTTTATGTCTGAGAAGTTGCTTAGCACTCATTCAGGAGCAGTCTTAATCAAAGTCTTAGATTATGGCTTTACTACTGTTACGGGTATGTCGTTCAGTGGCTTGCTTCTGGGAGGCTGGAGTAAGTTGCAGGATGCACTACTGTTGGCTTGTCACAGCTGAGGCTAGCCTCGGCTACACAAGATCTATCAGCTTGTGTGCTGTTAATGCTCCCTAAAAAATCAAAATACAGCAACCACCTCTCCTTAAAGTAAAAGGTGAAAGTCCAAATAGAGCATGCATCCGAGTATGCTGCAGTTAGAACTGTGCACGAGCAGGTGTGCATACAGTGCAGGTGCCTCGTGGTACTTGGACACAAGGTGTCCATCTCTGAAGTAAGAGGTGACTGAAATGCAAGGACTCTGGGAAATGGGCTTACTGATGAAATGCCCTGTGATCTTTCTAAGTTCTACTACAAAAGAGGAGGACCTCAAGGTAGAAATGCAGAAACTTGTAAAGAACAAAATAATCCCATAAATGAGTTCATCTGTTATGCACTAGGTGATGACCTTATCTCTTTTTGTAGGGGACACTTACTCAGGCATTTACAAAAAAATAAAGATCTTATTCAAACATTGGAAGCAGAATCTTTTCACAGTCTAGAAGAGGGTTTTTTAAAATACTTCCACTTCTAGGTGTATATGGTAACAGGGAAGATAAGACTATAGCAGTAAAATTAGATATGTAGTGGTTTTTTTTTAAAAAAAAAAAAAAAGCTGTTTTGTTTTCTGTGTATCTGTGCTTATTTGAAGGGACTGCAGTGCCAGAAGTCCTTGTTGTGGAGAGTACGTGAAGGATTTTCCTTTCCTTTTGTTAATAACTCTGAAGAGGAATGTGGGATGAAATAACAAAATGAACAATAAAGAATTGCAAAGATCAGATATTCAGAGTTCTAAAAATCTAGCAGCTATGATTTATTATCTGTCCTTGAAACTGCTCTAATACTGAAGATTGGAAGATGTAAAAACCTACTACACTTACCAGATGGATTTCACTGTCTGAAGAAGTGCTAGTATGATTGGATGTACCCAAATGATCATTAGCTTGATCACTAGGTGTTCATCTTGTGTACCCTGGTCTTTTAATAATAATTAAAAAAACCCTTTTTCACTAGTTCTAAGAGAGTCATGTCTCTCAATCTGTTACAGATTGTTTAAAGAATTCAATAAGCATGTGAGAGGAACTGTGGCCTGCTTGTATTTCCAAAAGATCTCTGATTATATGATAAAAGGAAGGTCTCCACATGGAGAAAAAGAAGGAACATCCTTTCTGGAAGGACATGCTCCACTTATCCTATCAACTCTTAGAGATTCCAGACTAAATTCATTCTGACATGAAGATCTCACCAGGCAGGAAGTAGAAGTAATGTAGTCATTGCTGTACATCTCACTCAGAATCTTAAGTAATTTCACTTTTAGGGAATAACTTATCTAATTATGGTATAACTTGGCACTTTTGCTGGACTGGCATGTTCTCCTCTGCAGGGAGAGAAAGGATGCCTGAACACTTACTCACTGTGATTGGCAGCAAAAAGTCCCAGTGTAACTTTTGTTGTTACCAGAATTTGTTCTGTAAGTTTTGACATTTGAGGGGAAGAAACTTGTGATTTAAGAGGAAATCCTCACTATTGGGTCTTTTAATGAAACCTGGTAAATTTATTACTATGTTTTACAAAATGGGGGGGAGGAGGGGAGCACTAAGCCTTGCTAATTGCAGCTCCTTGAGTATTCTTTTAATATTTAAAAGGAGAGATAATTGTTTAATATAATATTCTCAAAGGGGAAAATTTCTTATACTTTGTTTTTTAAACTAGCGTATGCGCCCTCTGCCACTTCAATCAACGAGAGGTTTTGAAAAACATAATGAAAAATACAGTCCTGAAACTAGTCTGAGCTATTGCTGTTCTGACAATTCTATTATATGACAACACAGTGACACAGATGTCATGGGGTCCTTCTCAGACACTCATTGGTGGGAATACTTCAAGTGATGTATGTTATGACCCCACCAGAGGTTGCTCAGACCACACCATGGGAACACAGCTGAGCATAACAACTCCTTGTACTGCTAGTTTTGCAAGAGAATTTAAGGCTGCTCTACATCTTGCTCTGTCAATAGTTTAAGTTTGTTTGCTGTTGTAGTTCAGAGTATCGTAACTGCTGGGTTTGGATGGTGATTTGTCATATTCGCAACCATTGAGCGTAGTAAGGTTAAAACTGCCCACTAAAACCTGTGTGAGTAAAGTAGCTTTTTAGGGAGTGGTATCTTACATGAAATCAATTGAAGTCCTGTTTTAATTCAAGCTATTGTACCTACTGCTTTCAGAACTCCATAGTGGAGAAAATGCTGAATTTAGGATATGGGTGTACAAGAATTTATCTACAATACTAATTGCAAATTAACAAAAATAGCACTTTTTAAAGAAATATAGAAAGAAAAGGGTGATTGGTAAAGACTAGCTTTATTCCATGTGGAGCTCAGCAACAACTTCCTCCTTCAGCTGTAAAGATAATTGATTCTGTAACCTTGTGGCTCGCAGTGTTCCAGAAATGTAAGTAAGTCCTGGGAGATTTGGTGGCAAGGGGAGCTGATTCCTTCTTTCAATACCCTTTGGCCTTTGGTACATTTGAAATAGTAACTACAGGTATGCAAAAGTTCTTGCTATTTCAAATATTGCGATGAAATCTTGTCTTTATTCTGTCTTCATCTTTCCCACCCCTATTCCATTTTTTTGTTTAAAAAAAAAAAATTAAGCAAATCTTGGATACATTGAGGGAATCTGGTCAATTCTATTGCAGACATTGGAAAAGAATAGATATGATGTGAGGGATAGGGGGACAACACATGTTTAGGGGAAAAAAGAAAAAACGTCCCAAATCTTTTTTCCAGTACTCTCCGGTTAAGGAGAAATTTTCTGTCTCTTCTGATCAGTCCCCTTTTAAGTTAGAGCAGGTTCTGGAAAACAAGTTAAATATAATGCTCCCTGAATCAGAAGGTTAGTGTTCTCCACTTGAGTTTGATGGTCCCTTGGGTGCTATATGCTGCCTTTCTTAAATTTTTTTTATCATTAGAAGGAAGACAATTGAGCCTAATTGTCTTCATACAGGTAACTTCTAGATATGACCCAAACTGGTGTATTTTAATACTTTGTTCCAGGGAGGAGTTATTTTTCAAGATATGCTAATCAGTCTTCAAGTTTATTGCCATACTGACAAGTAGGGATAATTTCTTGACCTATAGCTCTTAACTAAGATGCAAAAGAAGTCTTGCAGGCTGAAAGTTCATACCATTCCTTCTGCAGAGCACGAGAAATACTTCACTAGTAGAATTTGCACTATGTATTGTAAAACAAATGTGTAGGAACCAGGTATTTTTCTGTTATTAACATCTCATCACATGAAAGCTCTTTGCTTGATAGATTGCCGTACTTGTATAATAGGCTTGATATTGCCCCTTGTGTAGAAGGGGGGCAGGGGTCTGTTTTAACTGAGTGGCTTGAGTTGTGGTGAACTGAGTGGTATTTTTTGCTCAGATTCAATTTTTTACTGCTTAACAGTATATGACTGCAGTCAACTGTGGTTGAGGGTGGCTTAATTTTATTTTTAAATAAATGAAGTTATGCTTTCTGAAGCTTTGTAGTTAACTTGATGTAAAATACTTCGTAGTCTTTGCTGGCAAGGGTACAAATCCATGTTGATATATTTGGAAACCGGTTATATGTACAGCTGTCTCTATAGAAACTGTGAAGTAAAATGCTATAATTACTTTATAAGGGCTGCTTCGTTTCTGTTGAGGCACTTACGTCTTTAGAGCTGACTGGATTCAACCGTGGTGGTGAAAGGCTTCACACTATTAAACCTTTAAACTTTCTAGTTGCTTGAGAAGGGAGGAAATAGAAGTTCAGCATTTTCTCTGTGTGTGCACGCGCGCATGCGTGCGTGTGAGAGCGAGCGTGAAAGCTGTGCAGGCTGTTCAGCTGGGGCAGCTGGGGAAGTGACGTCCTGTATTATTTGTCGTTCTAGAAAGAGCGGAGACACGTACTGTAGATGGGAGGACTCTGAAGAGGGCTGTGTCTTGTCCAGTGTGTATAATTATTTCTAAATGAGCAACGGGGGAAGGAATGAAATACAGAGAAGCTGTCTAGTGTTTCTTTAATATATTGGAGATTTTGTTGATTTGTAACAGTTCTATTTGTTTCCATTCCAAATTTGATTTTTATTTTTCCTTCTCTAGCATCTCTACATTGCTAAGACACTGGACACTGCTTTCTTTATAGCAAGGAAAATTTGAATTCCTCCAGCACTCAAGATGGGGAAAGATTATTATTCTATCCTGGGAATTGAAAAAGGGGCTTCGGAAGAGGATATCAAAAAGGCTTACAGGAAACAAGCACTTAAATGGCATCCAGATAAGAACAAATCTCCCCACGCAGAGGAAAAATTCAAAGAGGTTGCAGAAGCTTACGAAGTGCTGAGTGATCCCAAAAAGAGAGATATTTATGATCAGTTTGGAGAAGAAGGTATGTGTATGTCTGTTATACTCTGATCGGTCACTTTCATTATGTTGAATGAAGCAAAATAAACATAGATGATGCATGAAAACATGATGTGTGTTGATTTTTAGGCAATGTATTTGTACTGCTTGGAAGTTTGACTCCTCAGCCTTTTTAATGTAAAATGTCTTGCAGAGTGTTAATGCTGATCTAGTTTTAATTTCTTATTTTAATATGTTTTATACTTGACAGGCAAAAAGTTACTGACTTGAAAAAGTTTGTATGACCCATAAATAGCTTTCTGGGATCTCTTACTGCTGTCTTCCCTTGCCATAGCACTTTTTGAGGTGCAGTTGGAGAGATGTATTCTTTCCTTAAATTTTTGCTAAAGGGCAATCTGCTTGATCTAGGCAGGGTAGTCTGTTTGAGCAGAAGCCCAGGTGTCCAGTCTGTAGCTGTTGTTGGCTTCTTGCCTGGAGAGGAAAGAATTTGGCTGATGTCAGAAAATACCAGAACAATTTTTTAGCTTTAATTGTAAACAGTGATAACATGCCAAGAGAATGAGGCCTTAGAAATGTCATATTTATCCTAAAATGGTTATCTGGAGAGGATGACTTTTTTTTATTTTTGACCAACGTGACTTTCAGTCTTATGATTGAGCAACAGAGGAAGTCATTAACATCCCTCCCCTTAAATGTATGGTATCAGAAATTCCAGATGAAATAATTACTTCCGTTGTGACGAGTAGGTGCACTCACTCAGGGCCATGTTTTTTACTAATAGGAAAGAGGACGCTTAAATAGCAGTACTTTGGGGAAAATTGTGGGTTCTTATGAATGCATAATAAAATTTGGTCCTTTGTTATCCGTAGGACTTAATACAATTGTTAACATCCATAAATTCACGTAGAAGACCTTCAGCTTCTACAGACAATGCAGTTTTTTGGTCTTTTGTTCCACTGCATGTGTTCAAAGCTTTGGTGCTGTTACTGAAACATTCTAGGAAAAAAGTGTTTATGTAGATGCCAGAGGCCTTTGCTGCCTCTTGGGTCTTTTGCCTTCTTGCACTTCTTCCTTTTCACCCCCTGCCTCCTTTCTGTACATCATCATGAATCTATTTACTCTGTGGATTCATTTGCATTTTAGATTCCTGTGCAGCAGCTCATCCTAACTACTTTCCAAAAATACCATTTTAGTCACTTTTACCAAAGAGCTTGAAGCTCATAAAGCAATGCATCCTTTGGCATCCTAGTATTGCATACTTGAAGACAGAGGTTCAAAACATAGATTTTTGTTTATTTGGGGCATAATATAAACCCCAAGTATGAATTTTTACAGTGGTTAATCTGGAAATACGTACTGATGCCTCAGTTACTCTCTAAGCTCTTCAGTTGCATCTGAGAGTGTAATTAGTCGTGAGGGAAAGGCAGGGGGTAGGGTGGCAGGAAAGAGGAAATCTCAGTGTTTTTACAGCCAGGAACTTGATGTACCTTCAATAACTTTTGGCTAGCTATTCCAGGAGGTGTCCTTCTACTATCGCAAATTGAATCCACTGATCTGCTTGTCTGACATTCAGTGGTGTGACAGAAGGATGTACTACTGCATGCTGCTAAGTACTTCTGATACTGGGACTGAGATGGGGAAAGCATTCTCATTCTAATGTCTTGGTTACTGTTGATAACCAATATTAAGCTTATGCATAGAAGGTCTAAAACACTGAGCCAAAAAAAAAAAACCCCCAACCTGAAACCCCCTCTTTCAAATTTAGGGAATGCATAATATAAGCCTTCACATTTTTATGGCTGTGGAAGTAGGATAGCAGCTGTAGTGCTGAGCTGCTGTAAGATTTTAAAAAAAAAAAAAAAAAACAAACAAAACAAACCAAACACCAAAAAAACCAAACATTGGAAGTTTAGAAATAGAAGTCTCTTACGACTTTCAGTCTTTCATCTTAAAGGTTTGAGAAGGTACCCTGAAATGGTCAGTGCAGAAGAGCACTAACTATTACGAGGAAATACTTAGAGGTCACCTATTGGGAAAGAGGCATTTAAGAGGATATTCTGTTTTAAGATGCTAATTCTCTGAGTAACTGGCTTTATCATATGAAATAAAATTGGCAGTGTCAGAATACTTATTCTTCTGAAGTAGAAGTCATTCTAGAGCTTCAGCAACTTTGTTGCTGTTCAAGCAATTGAATTACTGGTTGGTACTGCATAGTCTGATGGTGAGTCCCCATTGAAAAGGAGACCTTTCACTCTACTGCAAAGATGTCCTTGACTCATCAGTTCTGACGTCATTGCACCCTACAAATAGGAAAGCTTATACTAATATTCAATTTGTTTTTAACTTTGCTTATTTGTCTTATTTAGGTCTGAAAGGAGGAGCTGGAGGACCTGATGGACAGGGTGGTACCTTCCGATACTCCTTCCATGGTGACCCACATGCTACATTTGCAGCTTTCTTCGGTGGCACAAATCCTTTTGAGATCTTCTTTGGAAGGAGGATGCCTGGTGGCAGAGACACTGAAGACATGGAGGTGGATGGTGATCCATTTGGATCCTTCAGTAGTTTTAGTATGAATGGTTTTCCAAGGGAAAGGAATACAGTTGGTAGCCAATTGCGTCGCAAACAAGATCCCCCTGTAATCCATGAACTTAAAGTGTCATTGGAAGAGATCTATCATGGCTGCACAAAAAGGATGAGGATTTCACGTAAAAGGCTTAACCCAGATGGTAGAAGTGTCCGAACAGAGGACAAAATTCTTACTATTGAGATAAAAAGAGGATGGAAAGAAGGCACCAAAATCACTTTTCCAAAAGAAGGCGATGAAACGCCCAACACAATTCCAGCTGATATTGTTTTTATCATTAAAGATAAACCTCACACTCACTTCAAGAGAGATGGATCAAATATTATCTATCCTGTTAAGATCAGCTTAAGGGAGGTAAGTTTCTCTTTTGGTAGAACTCTAAATGTTTAAACCTGTTACAATATGATAAAATGGCTACACTGCACAAGCTGTATGGCAGTAGTAAAGTTTTAGTTGTGTTTTTTTTTTTTTTTAAATTGACTTTACAAGAGTGAAACTATGTGTGGCTGCAGAGCACAGTTATTTATAGTGGAAGCAATAGCTGTTTTGATAAAAATGGAGTATTATTTCAAGCTGTTTACTATAGAGATGGAAGAGAATGAGGGTGGAAGGGTCAAGAGTAAAGGTTGATATGTCTTAAATCTTCATACTCTACCTTTCTAGCTAAATGTATATTAGGCTGAAGTAATGAACACAAATACAATTAACAAATGCATCCAATACAGTATGCTCCTTACTGCTGTGATAGGATTGCTACTTCTGTAGGACAAAGTAGAAGTGTCTTAAATATTTTCACTGTCAACAAATTCTAAGTCTGCCTTTTTATGTCATAAGTTATTTCAGCTTGATTTCAAAGTACATAGAGATTGATTTCGTGAGGATAAATTATTGTGAACAGGTGTTATAGGAGCTATATATAACAACAAAAATGGTATAGCTTTTTTAAATTCCATTCTAAGTCAAAACACATTGGCTTTCAAAAGGAAAAATCACAGACAACTGAGCAGAGTCCTTAAGGGTCTGAAGCCTCGACATGGTCATCATTTAAAAGATAAAGTAGCTGAGTGTGTGTGATGTGTTTTTTCTTCTTAATTAGCATTAGGTGGAGAAATAAACTCTTGCTTGCATTATAAGCTCTTTGCGTACATTATGAGCTCCCTTCTTAAAGGATTCTTAACTAAAAAATACATCAGAAGTGAGGTGAAGCACCTAAAATAGGGTAAGGAAGGGAGGAAAGACAATATTTAATCTTGATGTGGGTAATATAGTTCCTTCATAGATAAAAGCCTATTTAGACTCATTGCATTGTTATGTAAATTGGACATTATCAGTATAGACTAAATGTGCTGAATAAGGTGAAGTTGGAGGAATCAAAATGTTATTATCAGAGATGCTAGTAATGAAAACAAGCTATTGGATAAAGCAAGAGAAGGTCTGTGATGTTTTAATTTTGGTGCACCAAAATAGTTATTTGCTTTTCTTTGAGTATCACAAATGCTCACCTAAGACAGCTGTGAAATTTGATATGCCTCTGCTTATAGACACTTAAATGTTCTGCAATTTGATACAATATAGGTTGACAGTGTATTAGAGTAAACCCCTGTGCAATGTAAACAAACAAAAAATGGAACAGGACTCTAAATTTCCAATGGAAACTGAGAAGCTGGATATCTCTAGAGAAGTATGAGTGAAGAGTTCACTCTGTGCTCAACTACCTTATTATTTGATAAGGTCTGTGAAGGATATATAAGCTCGATTACCGTCCACTGGCCATTGTGTAAGATTGGTAAATTCCATGATATTCAATGACAAATTGAAGCCTTCCCTTTTTAAGAGAGGAACACTGTATTTGAATTTTGACATATCAGTATTGCACAGTAGAAATGCTATTTGGAATACTAGTCTTTTCTAAATAATCCAAATTCGGTTGTAGGGACAAATAACGTTCTGACCAATTTCTTTTTCTCATGATACAATCTTTCCTTAGGCTTTGTGTGGCAGCTCTATCAATGTGCCAACGATAGAAGGAAGAACCATACCCATGACAGTAAATGAAGTTGTAAAGCCTGGGATGAGAAGAAGAATTATAGGATATGGTTTGCCGTTGCCCAAAAATCCTGACCAACGTGGAGACTTAATTATAGAGTTTGAAGTAATTTTCCCAGATAACATTTCTCCAGCATCAAAAGAAGTACTTAGGCGAAATCTTCCCGTTTCATAAGATGAAGACTGTGTATGTCAGCTGTTTAAATAGGACACTGGAAATGAAGAAGACTGGCTAGTCTGTGCTTTAAAAGTGCAATCTGTAACAACTAGTGGAATATTTGTTTGGGTTTGTTTTTTTTTTTTTTGTCTTGCGGGATGGGGGGGAATACTGTAATGCTGCATGAGAAGAAAAGGGTTAAGTACAAGTCATACAGGTGACTTCTGCAGTAAAATTTACAGGGAAAACCACTCATTTTATTTTACATCTTCTTAATCAGAAAAGTTTATTCTTATTTTGCCTAATGTAAAATGTAGTTGGTTTTTACAAAGTCAGCGCATAATTCTGATATAGTACTTGAGCCTCCAAGTACTTAATTTCTTATATCCCTACCCTATCTATAACATTACGCAATTATACAGAAATTGGAGATAGTAGTAGAAATACACAAATACATAAATATTTTAAAGATCAAAACACAAAAGATATAATTTTGGTATGTTGCCTTCCACTGCACAAAGCATAGGCTGGGAAAATCTGCTTGGACTACTGAACCACCCCCAGCGGAATGAAAACATTTTCTTTACTGCCTCAGAATGTGAGGACTGCATCACGAGTCTAGCAAAGGGCATTGTGGCTTGAGGAGCAAGAGTAGCCGTTTGCTATGGGATAGTTCCTCAGCCTTCAGGCAGAACAGCAAGAAGGGATTCTACAAGTATATAAACAGCAAATGGTGGGCCTGCTGTTGAATGGGGCAGGGAAGCTGGTGACAAATGACATGGAGAAGGCTGAGGTACTCAGTGCCTTCTTTGCATCAGTTTCTACCAGTAAAACAAGCCTTCAGGAATTCCAGGCCCCTGAGACCAGAGAGGAAGTCTTGAACCTCGGTGGCAGAGGACCAGATTAGGGTGCACTTAAACCGGAAGTCCGTGAGCCTGACAGGTTGCACCCCTAAGTGTTGAGGGAGCTGGCTAATACAATTGTAGGGCCGCTCTTAATTATCTTTGAATGATCATGGAGATCGGGAGATGTTCCAGTAGACCGGAAAAGAGCAAATATCACTCCTATCTTCAAGGAAAACAAGAAGGAAGATTTGGGGAGCTACAAGCCAGTCAGCTTCACCTCAATCCTTGGGAAGGTGATGGAGAAAATCCTCCTGGAAAGCATTTCCAAACACATGAAGGACAAAAAGGTGATCGGGAGTAGTCAGCATAGATTTAGAAAGGGGAAATCGTGCTTGACCAAGCTCATTGCCTTCTACAGTGAGGTGACTAGCTTTGTGGATGATGGGAGAACAGTCCATGTTGTTTACCTTGACCTCAGTAGACAGGCTGATAAAGTACAGTTTAGATAAGTGGAAAGTGAGGTGGATTAAAAACTGGCCAAATGAGTGGGCACAGGGGGTGTGTGCAGTGGCACAAAGTCCACTTGGAGGCAAGTCAGTAGTAGTGTACCCTGTGGTTCAATACTGGGGCCAATACTATTCAACATCTTCATTAATGACCTGGATTATGGGATGAAGTGCATCCTCAGCCAGTTTGCAAATCATAGAAAAATTGGGAGGAGTGGCTAGTAACACCAGATGATGTACCGCCTTTGAAAGGGGCCTCAATGGGCTGGAGAACTGGACAGAGGATTCTCACGAAGTTCAACAAGGGTGAGTGCAAAGTCTTGCCCCCTGAGGAACAACCCAAGGTAGTAGTACACCCTGGGAGCTGACTGGCTGGAAAGCAGCTTTGCTGAGAAAGATGTTGGGGTCCTGGTGGACAACAAACTGACTGTGAGCCAGCAATGCACCCTTGTGGCAACACAGGCCAAAGCTTTGCTAGCAGGCTGAGGGAGATGATCCTTCCTCTCTACTCTTAGCACTGATGAGGATGCATCTGGAGTACTGTGTCTGGTTCTGGGCTCCCCAGTACAAGGAAGGTAACGACTTACTGGAGTGGGTGTAGCACAGGTCATGTATGAGAGGCTGAGAGAGCTGGAGCTCTTCAGCCTGGTGAAGAAAAGGCTTGGGGGGAATCTTACCACTATGTATAATAAATACCTGATGGGAGAGAATGAAGATGGGGCAGCCAGGCTCTTTTCAGTAGCTCTCAGTGACAGGACTACGAGGCAGTGGACACAAGTTAAAACACAGGGGATTCCATCTGAACACAAGGAAACACCTTTTTGCTGTGAGGGTGGTCCGAACACTGGAACAGGTTGCCCAGAGAGGTTAAGAAGTCACCATCCCTGAAGATACTTGAAACCCAACTGGACATGGTCCTGGGCAGCCTGCTCTAGCTGACTGTAGTTGAGCAGGGGTGTTGGACTACATGATTCCAAGAGGTTCCTTCCAGCCTAAATGATTCTGTGAACTTGGACTTAGCAGTTTTCACTAGACAGTGCTATGGGCCATGTTCTGCAAATGAAGCTTAGCCCAAAGATGGGTGGTACTGATGTGACAGCTTGAATCCCTAGGGTGTAGGTCTATGCTTCAGTGGAAAGATGCACAAAGAACACTGTAAAAGCATTTGGCTAGTGCAGGTATTCATTATTTCCAAAGGCTGAACTTTACTTCCCATAAAGGGGGAAAAGCCCAGGTCCTAGCTAAAGGAGCGTTTGCTTAAGACACAAAGTGGAATAGGGGTTGCCCATAAACTTTCATATGCTTGAATTTAGCCTTTTTTGAATACAAATATGAGTTACTTGTCTTGAGTTAAAAGGCATAGGGAAATGGATAGCCCTCTATAATAGTCTAGTTTTATAATACAGTAATAGGGCTGGTTCCCTTGATGGCGGCATGGTTTTGGTAAAAGAAAAGCCTTGCAGGCGTGCTTTATCACTTGAGTTTAAAACCATAATACAGTGCTTTAACAACACTTTCAAAGGGGTTGGGTTGGGTTGGTGGGTTTTTTTTTTTTCTTCATAAGAAAATATGTAAGATTTGCTGTCAGCCTTTTGCCTATGGAAATTTAGTAGTTACCTGCTCTGTTAGGTAGCTTAAGAAATAGCAGTGTTATCTTTGTATATGTGATTTTCTTCAGGAAAGTAAATCATATGGAAGTTGGGGTTTAATTTACAATAACTTTTTAATGAGCACAAGAAGAATCCCATTTCTGTTACTCAAAGGAATAGAACTTCTGGGAGATACTGTTCAAGTCAGTTTTTCAACTGCAGATCTCTTTGTACAGTGTCAGTTAGCTGTAGTCCTAAATCTACAAGGAACCAAACAGTTGCTGGAGCAGTATCGCAAAGGGAAGAAATTTGCTGCTTAGTGCTTATGCATATTGTTAACACTATATATTGTTTGTTCAAAAAAAATCCCATTTCAGTATGTTCCGTATTGCATTTCTTATGTGGTTTTTAAGTAAAGAGTGTAAAGTTGTTTTTTAACTTTCTCTTATCTTTTGTTATGATGGCAGATGCTATAAGCTACATGACTTTAAAAGCATATCATCCTAAAATACCTGCCTGTCAGTTTAAAAGGTAATGGAATTGAACGTTTTGTAATCCAGGATCTTGTAACCATAGTCCAACTTGTTAAAAAAAAAAGTTAACAGCAACTACAACTATTTTTTGTAACCATCTTCAGGTAAGAGGAGTAGTGTTAAATTGAGGAATTGCAGTATCTTGTGTATTTAGAGGTGTATATATATATATGTATAGCAAACTGAACTTTTCCAACTGTTTTCACGCTCAAAATACAGAACTATAGGACTGATATGAAATGCTTGTATTTCTTTTCTTATGGAGAGGTAACAAAGTATATGTTTCAGAAAATAGCATGTGGAAATACTTCAAAATATGAGAGGGAGAATTACTATCTATCTAATCCAGGATTAAAAATGAATATTTTTCTAATCAAAACAATGTGCTTAAAAGCTATGTTTTAAAACCCACTTATTATTTAATAAAGGCTACTTGGGAGAAGGAGGCAAATATTAGTCACCTACTGTATCTCTAACTACTGAAATACATGGAAATAAAATGGACGTTCATGAAGTTGGGATGAGGATATTTTGATCTCCTGAAGGTTACTTAGGTGCCATAGAATGTAAAAGTCATTTGGTTACTTTGGAGGAGTTCATTCAGTGACTCTATGAAAACCTGTACTTCTAAAGAACCTTTCTTAATCTCCCCAACATCAAGCTTTAGGAAGCTGTTGGAAGAGTAGGGCAAGCTACATTACAACTGTTTGTCCTTTCTGCCATGCAATGGTACTCTGTGGTTGCTCCAGAGCAGGCTTTCCGATGTCACTAGAATATTAGTATTCCATTCTTCCACTGAGCCTTTTTTGTATTATCTGTGCTGAAAACTTGTTGAAGCCTATTTGTGGGGTGTTGAACAGATGTTGCGGTTTTGGGTTGGTTTTGAGTCCTGACCTGTTTATTATGGAAGTACAGACTCTCTAACAGGGGTTGGGTCTCCAGTGTTGTTCTTGCCACCTTCATCTTGCAACTTTGTGTGTACTTGCTTCCATTTGCCTTTCACAGGGTGAAAGCTTTCTCTTCATTTTTATGTCCTCTTCGAGTATTCACCCCTGTTTTTCAATATGACCTTCAGTCCAAACCTCACAAACAGTGCTGAAGATGAGCAATATGTATTATGATGATCAGTCAGATGAGATTATCAGTGTTCTAATTCTCAGATGTGATAGTTCTGGCATTAGCAAATGCTCAAAACAGTATCCATGTCTGATTCTCAGAAATCCAAGGATAGGGAGGAGGTGCCCATCAGATTGATGCACAGTGCAGTAAATCAATCAAGCTATTGCACTGGTTGTACCTTCAATGCTAAAAAGCCAAAGTATGCGTGAAGAAAAGGTCTATAGCTGGCTTGGTTTTAAAGAGCCTGGTTGAGCTCTGCATAGGTATCAGTGTGCCATGAAACTCTCGGCCTTGCATAGTTTTGCTTAAAGACTTGAGGAGACCATTGTCTTGACTGGATAATCTGCTATTAGCTGTGGATTTTTTTTTTTTTTTTTTGGAGGGCCTGTTCCAAAATAAATCAGCAGCCTGGAATGGGAGTTGTATTTTGCCAAGAATCAGTTCTACTTCTTGGTAAGTGCCACTAGCCCTGTGCTTGCATAAACTAAACTTTTCATATTAACGAGTCTGGCTTTGTGTTAAATTTTTTTTTT